CCCCAAAACCCCAAAACCCCAAAACCCCGTCATATTGTATATTTTTATTTTAAGCAATTTAAAAATATTAATTAAACTTATGAAGAAATTTTCAACACTCATCAACTCCAAAGATAGTTAGGGTGCATAATCAAAAGAAGTATATCGAAGAATGATAAAATATGTGGCTAAAATCATAAAAGATCAGGATATCCTGGTAATTACTAGTGGAGCTGGGATGAGTGTTGATAGTGGCTTGCCTGATTTCAGAAGTGACTAGGGCATCATCAGTTGATTTCTAAAATATGAACCGAATCTGAACTACAAAGAGATTATTAACCCTTTGTATTTTGAAAAATATCCTGAGAAATTCTGGTACATTTATGGATAAAGATACAATTAATACAAAGTATCACCACCTCATGATGGCTATTATAAGCTATTAGAGATCTGTGAAAAAATTAAGCAAGATCGATGTTTTATTTACACTTCAAATGTTGACAATATGTTTACTAGAACTGGCTTCCCTGATAATCTGTTATATGAGCTGCATGGAAATATATATTACATGCAGTGCTTTTAATGCTAATTGATTTATCATAATGACAGCTACGAATTCATTTTGGATCACGAAAAGCATATATCTTGCACTTTACCCTAGTGCCCTCAATGTGGGAATTTAGTCAGACCTAATATCCTACTCTGGAATGATTATTCGCATATCTTCACACGAAATCATCTATAGAGAGATGCTTTCAAAAAGTTTATTTTCAATCAGTAATTTATGGGTCGATCTATAGCAGTTTTAGAGATAGGCGCTGGTACTGAATACCAAGCTATGAGATGTGAAGGAGAGGATTTAGCAGACTCTTTTGGTTCTAAAAAATCTAAATTCATAAGAATAAATCCTATCAAAGGCATCAATAGTATATTTGGGACTAGCCACGTAAGATTTCTTGAAGAAGGCAACTTTGATTGTGAATATGAAAAGTAAATAGATTAAAATGATCGAAGACTAGAATATGTTTATATTCAGGAAACTGCTCTTAAGGCTATAAATGATATCTATAATGAACTCAAACAATTAAAATCTCTGTGAGGCAGTTGTCTCTTTGATGTAAATAATAGTATATAGCTTTATTTTTAATTTCATAACTTCTTGTGTCTCTACATTAATCCTCTCAGTTAAGTTTTCTTCTCTTAGTGCTATCCTCTTCTCCTCTGCCTACTGTTCTTAAGGGTGTTGGCCTAGAACTGAAAACTACTTTCTTCTTAATTATTGCCTTAATCCTATATTCCATCTGCTAGTTGAATTCATCAAAGACCTTTTCAGTGAATAGCAAAGCCTTTGGTAAATCAGTCAGTTTTCCCTTAATCATGTGATTGCCCACTTGCAGTTCGTAGTTGCCACCTTGCAGTTCTCTCATTGATCCCAAATTCAAATCATCATACTAAGAGGAATTGGAATGCTCAAAGTCACCTTAGAATTCCAAAATCACTAGTTCATCCTCCAATCTGTCAGCCTGCTCATTGTATATCTTAATTGAGGTCATTTGCTAAAGGGCCTATTATTTAGTTTTCTTTCCTTCATGGCCTGAACTGAATTCTTAGTTCAGGGAAAGCTATTCGCTATCCTCACTATAGGCTGTGTTTCTTAATAGATTACCGCTCATTTTGATATTTTAAAGTTATTAAAACAATAAGCTGACTAATTTTATTGCAAAATAGTCTATTTCTGAATTATAATAACTTGAGGTATTTTAATATTAAATTTATTATAGCCTGTCATCATTAATGATAAATTACTTTGCAAACTAGATTTGCAAACAAAGGCAATTTTAACTCAAGCATCTCTATACTCAACTATCAAAGTCACATAATTCGAATTCAAGACTACAATCAAAGTACTAAAATAAGAATACCAATGAACTATGAATCGGTTAAAGTTAAAATAGAATGATATTTATGAATCAGCAGTTCAATTTAAAGTCGAGTTTCTATGAAAATTTCAACTCTTCAAGATCATTTAGCTCATCGAATAACGTTCCTGATAACAATGAATCAATAGTTAAAGAAGTAAAAGCAGATTAGTAGCTAAAGCAACAAATGATGAAGCATAGAATCATCATACATACATTTCCCAATGATAAGGATCCTTCCCCAAACACTATAGAAATAGACAAGGACACTGGTAAAGTTCAGATGATTTCAAAGAACGACAAAATTTCGGTTCAGATGGTTAAGAATAAAACCTACTACGCATTGTTTGAGACATTTTTACCAGCGGGCTATCCAAACTCTGTTGGAGATGGCTACCTTAAATTTGCTATGTACAATAATCTATCATCTCTTTGCATCACTGCCATGTCATTCCTGTCAGCTCAGAGTTTATTCGTGGCTATTGGAAGGTATGGTATTCTACACTGTTATACTTCTTTAACAATCTATATTTTAGTACAATGACCTAAGCCAATATAGCAGCGGCTGCTTACACCTGGGTACTTAAAGATGGTATCGGGTAGCTAGGAGCAATTCTGTTTGCTTCTAGATACGGTAGGAACTTTGACGAGGACATTAAGAAGTGGAGATTCATGGCAATGGTTGCTCTAAACATTTCTATATATATCGAAATTCTCACTCTCAAGTTCCCCAATCATTTCCTGGCACTAGCCTCCACTGCCAACATTGGTAAAAATATATGTTTCCTACTATCTGCTGCATCGAGAGCAAGTATTAACGTTCAATTTGCAAAGAGAAACAATATTGGTGATATCTCAGGCAAGAGTGTTTCTCAGTTTACAGCATCAACACTTGTAGGAGTAAGCATTGGTCTTCTTCTTTCTAAAATGATTGATATTACTTCTATTTCACAACTATACCCAGTATTTCTGATACTAACTGTAATGAATATAACTACATCTTACTATGCCTCAAAGGTTATCGATGAAGTCTATCTAAATAACCAAAGAGCTTTCCTACTATTTAATGAATACTTTGAGTCGAACAAATAGAGAATATTAAGTTGTGCTGAAGCAAATAATAAAGAAGTGTTCTATCTACCAAATGCTTTTAATCTAATGAATTGCAAGTTCATTAAGTTCGGTCACCACACTATAGGCAAAGTCATAGCTACCAGCAAACCTCATTACTACACTAAGAGTGTTATACTTTAACTAGAGAAGAATGATAGGAACTTCGTTTATCATGTTTAACTTCTCAATAGACCAGCAAGGAAGTTGAAGTACTTTGCGAATAACAACAGAATATATTAGATTCATCTGAACATGAGCAAGAATGCAACAAACTTTGACATTATGAAGGCTTACTATTTCTCCAGACTATTGGATTAGGAACTCTACAAAAAGCAGCTAGATGGGAAGATAGATACTAATAAGATCGAGTAATCTATTAAAGCTGCAGAGATAGAGTTTTAGCAGACTAACTTCAATGAATTTGAGTAAAATCTAAAGAAAAACGGCTGGTCTCTTGACTACATTTACCTTGATCCTAAGAAAAACAGATACAGCGTCGAGAATATCATTAGTTGATATTTATCTAGAAGGCAGGCTTAAAGACATTGTGGTAAATAGGTGAATGATCATCAATCATCGATATATATTCAATTATATCAATGTTGTAATTATTATTCCTGATTCTCCCTAAGGATTTTATTTAGCCTATGCGGGGTTTTGGGGTTTTGGGGTTTTGGGGTTTTGGGG